ATAGCTTAAATTCAAGAATCTTTAAGAGCTAGAATTCTCCAGTTAAAGAGTCCTATGGTTCAGTGTTTCTTGGGTCTCAAATTCTTCATGTGTTCTACCTGTTCTGCATGGATCACCACTGCCTTACATAAGACGTACTCATTAAGATGACTATGAAGTTGTTAGGCAACACTATTATTTTGATAGGGTAGCAGCTCATACCCACTTTGTGCAGGTATAAAAGGCTATACAAAGTGCACTGGGAAGGAAGGCCACCTTGTGCTGTGCACAGTCACCTTGTTCACCTGAGCAGACTGGCAAAAATATGTCCCTTAATGAGTTTCTGGGCCTATATGCACTGTCCCATCATTTGGACTATAGAAATGTGAACAGCATGACTTACCAAAGCATTGTTTGGGTACTGTGTACAGATGTGGTCTCCTCACCTCAGAAAAGATATTTTAGCATTGGAAAGTGTTCAGAAAAGGGCAACTAAAATGATCAGAGGTTTGGAACAGGGTCCCATATGAGGAGAGGCTAAAGCAATTGGGACTTTTCAGTTTGGAAAAGAGGAGACTGAGGGGGGATATGATAGAGGTATATAAAATCAGGAGTGGTGTGGAGAGGGTGAATAAAGAAAAGTTCTTTATTAGTTCCCATAATATAAGGACTAGAGGACACCAAATGAAATTAATGGGTAGCAGGTTTAAAACTAATAAGAGAAAGTTCTTCTTCACACAGCGTATAGTCAACCTGTGGAACTCCTTGCCAGAGGAGGCTGTGAAGGCTAGAACTATAACAGAGTTTAAAGAGAAGCTAGATAAATTCATGGGGGTTAGGTCCATAAAAGGCTATTAGCCAAGGGGTAGGAATGGTGTCCCTGGCCTCTGTTTGTCAGAGGCTAGAGATGGATAGCACGAGACAAATCACTTGATCATTGTCTTCGGTCCACCCCCTCTGGGGCACCTGGTGCTGGCCACTGTTGGCAAACAGGCTACTGGGCTAGATGGACCTTTAGTCTGACCCAGTACGGCCATTCTTATGTTCTTATGTTCTTTCACATCTCCATGTAGACAAAAACTAAAAAGTTACTACTTTAAATGAATATAATCCCCTTCAAACAGGGCTACATTCATATGTAGTAGAACCTTTTTATTATGTGCCTGAAGTGTCTACATAGAGAACTTACAGCACAACATTTTGGTGTGAATTGTCATTCACACACTCCTAGTCCAAACAGTTGGCTTGTGCAGCCATACTCTCTGTCCTTGCTCAGTTCCTGAAAGGGCTCAATGAACAGATATAAAATAATTAAAGAAGTATATTTAGATCATAATTTCAGTAGTTTAATATTCTTCATTTGCCTCACCAGTTGGTTAGAACTGTGTCATAGAAGTAAAACCTAGAATTTGTGAATTTATAACAAAATAGCCTCTATTATTTTCATGCAATTTAGCAACATGGTATTATTGTTGATTAGTTCCGGAATGATGAACCAAAGATGTACATGGGGAAGTTATGCGGCAGACTTGTTTTAAAAACTAGAATTAAACTCCATTTATTTTCACAGGAAGCACTCTACAAAAACCTGCTGAAAACTTGTGTTTAGTTGTTTTGCCATGAAACTTTTATTCTGTAAATAATTCTGTTCTATTTCTATCAACAATGAACAATCCAGAAATCATCAACAGTTTGATCTGGAATATTAATCTACAATATATTTTAGAGAGTTTGTCTGTTTGTCTGTTTGATCAAGAACTCCTCTTAAATGGTAATAGCTAAGACCACCACATTTGGTATACAGCTTCCTCTTATCATAACTTAAAGCAGTGAAAGTGTTTGGTTATGCCAGGAAAGCAGAATATGCCTGGAATGGGATTGCTTCTCATAAAACCAAACAGAAAAGAGACAGAATCACCAAATCAAGTACAGTCCTCAAAATTAATATAGGTGAGTGAATGTCGAGAGACTGAACAAAGATGAAACAGCAAAATAGGATGAACCTGTAATTGAATTGCTTCTCAATAAACTTTAGAAAAAAAGAGATAAAATGGAGAAATTTGAAGTAATGCTTTTTTTTTGACACAGACAAATCAATGTTTAAGGTTTGAAAATGAGAAGAGACTGTTTTTGAAAACCAAACTGACTATAGTCCTTTTTTGTTAAAAGAGAGAGAATGATAAGCATGTATAGGTATAAGTTACAAAAATTCACTTTATGGATTTCCCATTTTTAAAAATTACTTACAAAATTAAATGGAAAAAAATTAAGAATTGCTTTATTTAAGAAATCTGAAATAAGAATTAACTTCATAAAATTAATATTGCATTTTTAAAAAATTCAGTTATTTAAATAAATCATGCACATTTTTCTTTAATTAAAAAAAATAGTTAAGGACCTAAGCAAAATTTGGTAAATATGCTAGTTTTAAATGCTTTTCATCGAGCAAAGCACTTTTAAATTTTCACACAAGAGGGGTACCATATTATTACAAATGACAGTTTTTAATCTAAAATAATATACACTTTACTTCAGCCTTCCCAAGATCCCATCATTTGCATAGGTTCACTTATAGCATCCTGACTTATTAGAAGAAAACTGGCTTCTCTTCCTGCCGGAAAAATAAATGCCAGAGATTACCAATCATCATATCATCCTAAACTAAAAAGAGGCAAAATAACTTTTGCTAGGTCCCATAGGAAGTCAGTGGCAGTCACAATTAGTTCTCAAACTCTTAGCCCCAGTGTCCTTTCCACTGAAACCCACAGCAAACTACCCTGTTCCTTAAAATGAGTAAATTAATCCAGGGGTGGGGAACCTCAGGCCCAGTGGCTGGATGCAGCCTCTGGCTTGCCTGGATATGGCCCCTGAGGCTCAGGGATCTTCCCTGCATTGGAGAGCCCTCGCTAGTGCTCCAGCCCCTCTGCTACCCATCCACAGGGCTGGATCATGCAGCATCTACTAGCCTGGGCCCCCTAGGCTCTGGAGTGCGAGGGGAATATGAGGAGCATCTTTTCCCTTCTCAGTCAGGGGCTTCTCACTTTGCTTCTCATTTGTGTGCATCCCCCAATTGATTTTTCTGTGGGTCAGCAACCCCCAACCGCAAAAAGATTCCCCACCCCTTCATCTCAAATATTTATAATTTTGTCTAATAAGGCCCCACTCTTGCATATTGCAATGCAGAGGAAAGAGAAGGCTAAGGAGATCATTGTGATTGCACAAGAAAGCTTTTTAGCTATCTAATAACCAAAAGAGATACACCCACAGGAAATGGAAGGAAGACCAAAGACGTATACATGGGTAGAGTTAGGGTTACCAGGTGGCTTCAAAAAAATACTGGACAGACTTGATCTCAGATGGGGG